TTTCCAACTTGCATCACCGTTATACTTTCCAACTTGCACCAACTTGCAACTTGCTTCCGCCCTGCCCAAAGATTCCCTCACCACCAAAAAATCCTCCAATTACCGTCTCTCTTAAACGTACAATTTTCTTCACCCACTACCCCAGCCAAAGAGATCTCCTTAACCCTATCTGCTCATTTATCACTGGCTGCAACATTACCCCATATATTCCTCTTTTAACAAATCCAACACCTAGAATTCCCGAAATTTCATATTTTTCCTACCAAACCATCTCCAGCTAATCCCCTATAAAACTGCGACCCCGCGTTGTGCTCGCACTTCCTCTCTTGGCTTACGGTTTCCTCTCTTGAATCTCTTCGGCACTACTAGACAGACGTCGCAGTCCTCTCTTCCGCTTCTTCGACGTACTTCAATCCACTTCGTCGAGGCATTCTTCATCTCTTCGTCACTACTTCTTCACAAGTGCTACCGCGCCAAAATTTGGAGGGACTTTGAGGAAACGTTGCCCACGAATCGACTGAGCCCATTGATCATCCTTAACCCACATCTTGATAAAGGTTATTACCGAAAAGTAAGTCCGATGAATTTTTATTTTTCCTTTTTTTTGTCTTGTGTGATTCCTGCCGCGCTAATTAATTGTGATAATTCTGAAGAGTCCAAAATTTGATTTGTCCTTGAGATCTACTTTCCCTCTCGTCTCCTACACCCCATATAAACCTTGAAGACTAACATTCATTTTCACCTTCTACACTCACACACACACCACACATACCTACACACGCGTACCGATAATTTTGATGCTGTAACCCTCCGATAGTAATTGACCGCGATAGATATTGTAACGAGCCGCGAGAAAATAAATGTAAATCATTAATGTCATCTAAAATTTCGAATTACAATTTAACTTAAAATTTAATTTTTTATTTTCCAACCCCCTTTCCCTTCGATTATTCGCTCTTGGTCCGTCCCGCGATAAAGAGATTCGGTTCTCTGATCGAGAAAGGACCACTCGCCGTACGTCGACACCCGTGTAAACGACCTTTCTGGTCGCTGACGCGTTTCTCGACCTGCGTGTACGGTCGAGGCTTTCGTCACGTTGCGTTCTTCGCCAGACCTATTGACATAACACAATAAACAACAAGTAAAAATTATGTAACTATTATTTGATGTTTGCTAGGTATGTTATAATATACTGTGAACACTATAAGGATACATTATATATGCATTAATCGTAAGAATATCGTTGGAATCATTGGGAATCGCCGCGTGCCGCTCGTCAGGTTAAGCGACACTTTAACGGAGTACAGGACATAAATGGTGACCGGCGGTATACCGCTTGGGATCGAAATTATCGCAGGAGGATTCACGAAAGTTTGGAATGTGTTGACAACCTTCGATATCTAGTAATTTATAAGACATGAGAAAATTAGGAATATATAAGTATATTTTTCTACAGTAAGTATATTTTTCTAAGTACATTTTTAAACATTATGATTTTCTCATTTTTCACCTTTGCATAATAATTCTCAGTATTTGATTACTATTAATATTTAACAGTGATTTTATTATCAGTATTCACCAGAAATTAAATACTGGCCAAAAAATTACTGGTAATATTTAATCACTAGTAATTTTTCAGTATTTCTCAGTATAATATTTCTATAAGGGATATCTGTGATATAGTCCCGCAACCCAAACTTATACTGTAATTTCTCACAAACAAAGGCCTATTGGCACAAATCCCAATTAAGATGTTGATGCTTAACATCGCAGCTAGCGAACGTGCCTTGTCTCGTTCAGAAATCGATTTAGCAGTTTGTGGCATCTCCTTGTGAGAGAGCTTTATATTATATACGTATGGTATATCAATGTATACGAAAGCAAGTAATTTATTTAAAAGAAGAGAATAGATCTTTTTATATGTAAGAAGTATGTTTAAAAAGTATGTAAAAAGTGTATTTATATACTTTTAATACCAATTAATCATTTTGTAAATTTAAATAAATTGTTTTCTGATAATAAAAGTAACTAATTTAAAACACAAAAAATATACTTTTAATATTATAAAATAATTTATTTAGACTTATAAAATAATTTACTTGTATTTCATTTACTTCTAAAACAAGCAAGTATTTATTTAAACACAATTTTTACATTTAAAAAAATTTTCTTCTTGTGTGTAAGGGAAACATTTGCTTATTCTTATATATAGATGTTTTAAATCAAAGAAATCATTTTTTATCTAGAAATTCATAATTTTATAGCTCATTTTACAAATTTAAAAAATATTACTTTATATTTATTATATGTTTTCTAAAATCTAACAAATATTTCTTTAAGTTAAAAAATTATATTTAACAAAATATATTTCTTTAATTTAAAGAATTTTATTTCAGTGTACATTACCAATTTAAATTTCGATTTTCTTACTTTTTCATTCAATAATTATATTTAATTTTTTCATGTATAATATTTATAGAAATATTTATAAAATATTACTACAAATATTTATTTTTTGTTTATTATAAATATTTTATAAAATATATTATGACATAGCAGCCTCGGAGGCGCCCGTCCCAAGTTGTGAAAACTGTACCGATTTCACGACTGTTCCTCGCGTATCGCGTCCCGGCATATTTTCGTTTGTGTGCGTCCGTAGGACAAGTATCGGAAGTATTTTGTGCGAGCGGAGCAGATCTGAAGGTCCTCGCGTCCCACACTTTGTGCCCCTCGGCTTGTCTTGCCGACCACCAGGACCAACGGAGCTGAAGACATCGAGGGACGAAGGAGCATCGACCGACGGCTCATCGCTCTCGCTCAGGAAATCGCTCTCCTAAAATTTGGCGTTAGAAAATTCTCGAATTCCCGATCGCTCTGCGTTATCGAATTTTATAGCGACTAGAATATTCGATAACGAGAGTACAGCTACCAAAAGAGCAAGTGATACCGCTCAGCTGTGTTTACTTTTAGCGGGCGCTTGGCAGACACGGCAGGAGAATGAGATGGTCTCGAAGATCCCAGCGTAAAAAACTGGAGCGCCGATGGAGACCGCGAGCTGATCCACGACGGCAACAGTGTTTCGAGACAGGATTACCGAAAATTACCGATTCCCGAGTGCCGAATGCCGCTGGGCGAGAAGGGAAGCGACGAAGGAGGACCGGCAAGTATACGCGGTCCTCCGAAAACCGATGGATCATCAGCCTTACTGCGACCATCGCCGCGCACACACAGAAAACGATTTCCGTAATTGCCGTATCGAGAATGCGATAGAAGGCGAGTGAAGCGCGAGAGGATACCGAGACGCCCGAAGGATCGCCACCGCCGCTACCACTGCAAGTCATCCATAGGGAACGCCGCCGCTTTTGTAAGACCTTCTATCTGCTCCGTATTTTGTTATCGTTCGTGTCGTTATCGTCTCGCATATCGTTGTCCCGTCCGCGTGTCAGAAGGCTCACCCGAGGAGATCGTCCTCGGGTTTTAATTGTCGCGATCTTAATACCGAATCGTGTCTCGCGCGCTTTCTTTTGTGAACATTACCTTGCGCTTATTACCGGGACGTGCAAGAGTCCCGTCAATAAATTCAATACTATCGATCACGCTTGGAGTTACTTGTGTCATTCCTGAACCCATCACGTCTCTGACTAAAATCACGGGTAGCTACCGGTCTCGACGGATTCCCGAGGCACGCGAATTTTGTGCCGATTCTTACGTTTCGCGGTTATCGAGGTGGTGCAGCCTTTTCCGCACCTGGCGCTCAACTTATCGTTTCGCATTGTGGCGTGAACCGGGGCCGACGGCAATTTGCCGACGCGGAGAACAAGCGACTGTCTGCCATCGCTCGCGAGTAAACTTCGCGAAAAGGCGTCGCAATATTTAATCTATATTTTAATAATATTTTGAATAAGGATTTTGATACTTTTTCCTTCATGTACATAAAAAATATTTATAAAATATTTATATAATATTTTTTTAAAAATAACTCGAAATAAATATTTATAAATATTTATCACAAATATTGTATACTGTCTGGGGAGACGCCTTTAATATTGATAATTAAATGAGGTTCTTGTTGAAGATTTCCAGGTGGGTTGCTTACGAATCCATAAAAATTTATATATGAAAATCTAGAAATTCACATAGGAAATAAAAATCTCTATAGGAATCCATACGGTTATCCATATTGGTTTTTAAACACCACATTATTATTATATTAAATAACACATATATTCTCATATGGATTTTTATTTTTCATTATTATATGGATTTTGATTTTCCATGTGGATTCCTATATGGATTTCAAATTTCCAGGTGGATGCCTATATAGATTTTGATTTCCTACATGAATTCCTATATGAATCCCTATGGATTTTAAATTTCCTGTATAGATTCCGATAGATTGCTGTGGAAATCCACTTGGAAATTTTCAACAGGATTACTACACCTATTGTAGATCGGAACTTATGTTGTCTGGGAATAGTTATTACCTTATTTTATATATGTTTCTATTCTTTAAATACTGTTAGTGTTAAATTTCTATACTATATATATATATATATATATATATATATATATATATATATATATATATATATGCAGTAAATAAAAGAATTGTATATCATATTGGTAATAAATCTGATCAAGATCTCACAATAAAACTGTAGCCATCTGTGTTTGTAATACATTCGTATTTTGTTGATAGAGTTTACTGTCATCGCTACAGATTGCTAAATAGAATTGCTACACATTCTATTAGTTTCTGCATTTATCTGCTAGCATAGCATATCAGCAAGCTGTGTCAACAATTTTGACAGCAGCTTAGCAACATCATTAAAAAGAATAAATTCTGTGTGAAAATTGTTACCTTTGGACTATCAAAACTTTGTAGCAGACTTTGCCCAGAATCTATTTATGTACGTTTAGTTATCTGGTTATATGTGTGTGTGTAAAATTAAGTATATGTTCAAATAGCCAAATTACTTAGTAAAATCCCATAGCAGATGCATATCCTACTCTGTCCCCATGAAGCTTGTGTTATGTAAACATCTGTTATAATAACCTTTGTTGACGGCGAAAAGGACCATTCCTGTCGCTAACCTGCCATAAGGTTATTTTAACAGATGTTCATAAAACATAAGCTTAATGCGGACATAGTAGATATGGATCTACAGTGGGATGTTGTTATCAGCAAACTAATTATCTGGGTATTTACTATATATCGAACCTGTATTAACTCCAATTCATTAAAAAACGTTATTAATGCTTATACAAAGTGTTTTATCAGATTTTCTGTTAGATTTTCCATGAATAGCGAAACATTAAGCAATATCAGTTATAATTTCTAGCTCGCAAAATTAATTTTGTAGATGATCTCAATGTAGCACATAGAAAAGCTAAAGAAGCAGAAAATACTAGCGATTTAAAAACTGATTTAGAAAATAGTGTAAAGAGAAAACGATATCCTACGCGACGTCTTTATGATTCCGATGATTCAACCGAGGAAAATAATACAATTTCAAACTTTAAATCGTCTACCTCCAATAAAAAAAATTCTAAGTTATATCTTGTATAATAATGTATAAGGAATCTTTTAAATCATACTTATTCTGTATCTGACTTTTATAATGGATTTCAGGCTTTTCTAAAAATAATTTCTCATATAACAATTCATTATATATTCTGAATGAAGAAGGTAATACATATAAAATTTTTATACATTATCAAAGAAGTATTTAGTTACATATAATTGTGATTACCGATTTCAGGCTCTTCTAAAAATAATAATAATTTGTCATTTAAAAATACATCACATATTCTGAAGAAAGTAATATATATAATATTTTTATAAGTTATCAAAAAGAAGAATTCAGCAACA